TCTCTGGTTCGGGGGTTTTGCGTTATGTTGCTCAACAGACTTATACACGCACTTGAACATTACACTCCCTCCAGTGCAGCCAATCACTCTGAAACAAAGTACCTGACCTGCCAAACACAAGTTCATTTGCTCTGGGTTATTATATAATCAACCCGGGCCATATAATATAAAATATTATTTGACCAGTAAAGAACTGACCTGAGATCAGACAGAGAGTGATGAAGATGGTGGTGATGGTGGTGGCGGCCGTCATTCTGGTTCAGATATTCAGAGAAAAACCAGATCAGATCACAATCCAGGGAGAGCAAGAGCTGATGAAATGTGAACCTTGAATGCTGTTTAAGTTGCTTTGGCTGAAAGCATATGCCAGATGCATCAATGCAAATTTAAGTTGTCATCATAAGCACCCCCCACCCATCGGTCTCTCTCACATTTCTGCTTCCTTATTCTCTGTAAGGTTTCCACCCCCCTGCACTGCAGACAGAGCCGATATGTGTTGAGATATGTGGGAAAGACATGCAGAGAAACATGCTGTATAAACACATACAAGGCAGATGACACATCAGTATATTAATATCACAACTTAATGAGTAACTGTTTCAAGGGTTTCAAAGCTTCATCCTGCATTCATCACAGAAAAGCTGTCATGAGTGACAACTGTAGATGCACTGTGTAAATCTTATGTACATTGAATGTTGTGAAATCTAAGAGATCAGCAGGCTCTTCTGGTATGTCATCATCTGTATCTGTTACGATCTATTTGTGGATCCCACATCCTTTCATTTCTGCTTTCAGAGAAAATCACCAACAACCATGTTCTTGACGCACTTTGAGGGTTTAGTGCATTGCAGAAGTATTTCTGATGTTTATGATTGTGTTTGCATGTCATCTCATCTCAATGTGCAAAAACATGTATCTCCTTGTCATGACAATAATTTGAGTTTTATGGAAGGATTTATTTTTTATTTTTTATTAATATATGAGGCTTCAGATTCATTAGCTGTTATTGATAAATGACTGAAAGAACAACAAAGTGCAGCAAATCAGCGTGTTTATGATTCTGATAATGAGATAAAATGATTTGCAACATAAAGCAGCATAATTGTCTGCTTTTGTACAGGTATAGTAACTGGAAGCGACTGATGCCATAAGCAGGGGCGTAGAATTAAGGGGGACATGTCCCTACCAATATCCAGCGACTACCAAACTGTCCCTAGCAATCATTTTGATCATACAATTAAATACATTCAAGTTTTTGTAATTTCGGACTCATATGTAACGTCATGCTGTTGATGTTACTTAAGAAGTTAAAGTAAATACGTTAGAAAACTGCGCGGTTTCAAGGACGCATATTTAATACATTGGCAGAGTAAGAATGTGTATTAAGGTAGTCGCACACCGGAGGAGAAGCGCAGCCGTGTTTAGAACGACTCACAGGTATCGCAACCAGTTCAAGACAGCAGTCCACAACAGTTAATATAAAAGTTTATGATCCCCACCAATGTCAAAAGCAAACCTACGCCCTTGACCATAAGTCTCAAACACAAGGTACAAATAGACAAGATGGCTAGAGCAGTGTAATGGTGATTTGCTACCCTCTGCTGTGATTCAGCACTCACTACAACAGGTTTCTACCGACAGCCCTTCAAACTCTTCGTTTTATAAGATATCATTAACGTTTAATTAATCATTCAAGCTAATTACTGACCCTTCAGAAGTTACTGTCAGCCAATGCAGAATCTCAGCTATACCCTAAATTGGATGACGTCTTATATAATCATCTCAAGAAGAGTTCAAAAGAGACGAGACGAGCAGAAACACAAGAAATCCAACTGTTCAAGAATTCCAGCCACAGCTTAGATGAAATCAACTGAAATAAAAGAAGACATTAAATCTCTCGAGATCTCAGCAGAAGATGATTAAACAACTCCACAAACAGCATCACCAGCTTCACTCATTATTGACTGTATTTCTGTCAGATGTCTACAGAAGCGCTGAATGAGAATTAACAGGTTCAGATGATGATGTTTCATTTGTGTTTCTGCTCGTCTCTCAGCTGAAAGGTTTGTTTGAGCTGCATCCTCTAATGTACAGACGTGAATTTACATTTCCTTCAGCCTGAGGCTTATTTCACTTTTAGTGTGGAAGGGCTTTTACACTTGCCAAAACTTGAACTTTTTATATTAAAAAGAAACAAGCAAGCCCAGCCCTGACTGCAACACAATATATTGGAGCTTATATACTGTAACACCTGTTGGACCATGAGTTACTCCATTCAAATAGTAACCAATACCAGCTCTGATTAAATTCTGAGATAAACTGGCATTGTTCATGGTCCTGGCCAATGAAGCATCGAGCTGACATTCAATGGTCAAAGTTCAGTTCAGACACTTTCAGTTTCTGTTTTTAGATCAAAGTCAAACAGAGAGACTGAATGACAGCTGCATGAGACATAATGGCATCACATGTGAAGGTTAGTGTAAATTAAATCACCTAATATGATACGCTACACTGTAAAGTCTTTTTTTTTTAGTAAACTGAAATTAATCCAGTTGACTAAATTAATCCGTTCTTTCTTACTTTTGGGAAGTAAGTACAACAAAAAAGCCATACAAAAAGAAAATATGAGATTTTTTTTTTCTGAAGCAAATGATATACTTTTTTTTCTTCATCTTTACATCCTTTTTCATGATGTTTGCAATCTAGATTGGGCCAAAAGGGCACTTTTAATATCAGTGATTAAAGGGGCAGGGGCTTGTGTTTTTGAATGATGCATCAGTGCAAAATGCAAAATTAAATCTTAATATTTTCAGTTGTAAAAAAAAATTGCCTAAATTTAAAAGTAAATATCACCCAATTGTATCACCCAATTCAATACAAATAATAAAGTTTGTGTTTATAAGGTGAAAAATACTGATGTATGAGATGACATTTTATTGGATGTACTTTAAGATAATATAGTATTAATGGCTGTAAAGATTTTAATCTTGTGCATGGAGATTGGACCAGAAAACCTTCCTGTTTGCACTTTTTATAAACCTTCATTGCATTTTTGTTATATTTGAAGGTCTATTCTTTATTTTAAAGTTAAACAATAAAAGCATTTTAACTGACAAGATAGCTTAACTTTCATTGTTTTTTTAAAGTCCATAAAGGCCTGTTCACACCAAGAAGGATAACTGTAAAGATAACTATACAGCGTCCACACCAGCGGACGATATCTATTCAAAGTGCACGCTTGTCTGCCGCTTTAAATTCTCGAGCTTGTTACAGCATGTGGTGTGGTGTGGACTCTGCTTTCTTTAATGTTGAGAACGATTTTTAGAGCTAAATCTCTTTATTGTTATGGTTTTAGTTATCGTCCTTGGCCTTAACAGTGATAAAGCAGAGTGAAAGTTCAGGATGGAAACAAAGATCGCCTGTTCTTCACACAGAACCTGCTTCACTGCATACTTCATTTAAATGAACCACAGAATGTTTTATTTGCAGGAGCATTTACATGTACAGTTGGAACCTGCTGAACTTTAAAAGAAAAAAAAACATTACACTTGACAAATCACAAATTATTTCAGCTATGAACCACCCACCAAGCCTTTACATACACAAACAGTTTTTTATTAGAAGTACTTCACTATAAATACTTATTGTGAGGTGTTATGGAAAAGTCCAGTGTTTTGATGAATGTTGGTGTCAAAATCATTGATTGTAGTTTCTGTCTCATCACGTCTGCTGCAGCATTTCAGTTTAAATAACATGAGCACTAAACACAATCACCAGAATCAAAACCCACAGAAACTGCAATTATCACACAAATGGTCACAGACAAACAGTCACACATTTTATTATACATTATCATCATCATGTAGTGACCTGATTCACTGATTTCATTCAGAGTCTAAAGCTCTAATCATATGATTGATGTATAATATTATGGTACTTATTGTAATAAAAATGTGCACAGAAAGGTTTGACCAACAGCATCTTTTAGACACACAGACAGACATCAAGAATCAGCATATGAATCGCCACAAAGGTGACAGTCAACAAAATATAGAGAAAAGCCCTGAACATCACAAAACAAGCAACTGAAGTCACAACAGAAAAAATAAATAAATAATAGAAATACGACAATTCATCTGCAAAATGTATTCATGTTGCAATACATGCTGGGAGACTATAAGTTTTATGCAAATATGGTACCCATCATGCATTGCAACATCAAGCTTTATTATTTATTTATTTGCTGGAGAAAATTACTGCAAAAAATATTTCCTGTTTTACAGCGTATAATTTCCTTGCAAAAAATATATATATATATATATTGTGTTGGTTTCAAGTTGTATCTCTATTAAAGACTATATGTGACCCTGGAGCACAAAAACAGTCATAAGGGTCAATTTATTTATTTTTTTATTGAGATTTATACATCATCTGAAAGCTGAATAAATAAACTTTCCACTGATGTTTGGTCGAGATACAACTATTTGAAAATCTGGAATCTGAGGGTGCATAAAAATAAATTGAGAAAATCATCTTTAAAGTTGTCCAAATGAAGTTCTTAGCAATGCATATTACTAATCAAAAATTAAGTTTTGATATATTTACAGTAGGAAATTTACAAAATATCTTCATGGAACATTTGAGATAAAAGAAAAATGGATAATTTTGACCCATACAATGTATTGTTGTCTATTGCTACAAAT